TTTTTTTTTCATTTTATACTTATGTTTTAAAGTTTTAAATGTGTTTTAGATTTGTGAATAATTTGTAGTATAGGAGTTTTTCCAAAGTGTGTATCTGATATCTGCTACATTAGCTATGAAATTTAGGCGCTAAAATCATTTTAGCAAACATCTAGATATTTAGAAACTTGAAGAATTTAATGTTTTTGCCTAATTGCACGGATGTGAAATGACTTTATGCTGATTCCTCGAACTATAAATTATATTAAGAAGGTTTAACAGAATTATATTTGACAAAGTGCAGGTAATAAACAGTTTAGGTTATTAAGTGATGTCACATTAGAGTGCAATGATTTTTTTTTAGTAATTCTTGTGTTGAAATATGTGTATGAAATTTTAAAAGTAATACATAAAATAAAAATCACAGAGTTTATGAAAAATATTCATGCCGTACTTTTTGGCATAGTTTTATGCTATGTTCAGATTACATGTAATAAAAGGGCAAATAGCATTGTTTAATGTTAATAGACTTGCTCATGTAATAAATGAATGACTAGCCGAACATTATTTAGTGAATTCACAAATGTTTCTTAAAAGTAGCATCATAAGACAACTTCCAGACGTATATAGATCGATAGGACAAATGGCTTGTTTGTATAACATAATACTGTTTGCGCAATAGTGCATGAATAATTAATAGCTGCGGGAGTTGTGTCGCTAAAACATAAAAATGAAATAATAGGAAATCTGGAAATATATCATCAATTCTTCAACAAATTGGTCAGTATCAAAAGAAAGTATTGATATTACTAAAGGCTAAAGTTTCAAGAGAAGCAGAATGATAAAACATGATTTTAGTAAACAAGGTTACATAATAGACGAGGAAAAAAAGTGTATTTTGCAATTAGAGACTTTTCCCAAAAAAATAAGAAAATGAGTGAATATGATCAGCTATACTAACAAACACCTTTCACCAATCCAATAGCACACACCAATCCAATCTGCAAATTCATTATCAAAATATGTTATTGTTATTATTGTTATTGTTTAATACCATATTATAATTTACTTCACCACTCCAAAATAGAATTCAATCCTATAAACGTTTTCAAAATCTATATTGAAGTTATTTAGTTATTTTTCTATTAAAAGAAGTTATTTATGTTATTAATATTATGTTATAGAAGAATCATTATTAGGCCTATTAATATTAAAATAATTTTCTTTATACTATAATGATTGTATATTCTGATGTAGCATTATTCTACCTATTGTTCTGTGATTTCTACACCTTTTACTAGTTTTATGATTATTTTCAAAAATATGTTATTAGGTTCTAGATTCTATAATGTAGAGCTTTAATTCTTCTAGCAAGTACTTAAAAATTAAAAAACAAATCTTTTACAGATAAAAAACATAATTGATCAAAATGCATCGGCGAGGCGGAAAGCGCATCCGAATGGATGACCCCATTCCTCCGGAGTATGAGAATCCTGAAACCCCAGCAACTCCTTCTGTTGATTATCATTCAAACAGCGCAGAGTGAGTTTCATTGTTACAGCTATTTTCTTGACGATTGCTAGTACCCTGAATTTTTAATATATTGTTTAATTTCCAATCATATTTTTTTAATTTTAATATTAGTATATTGTCACACATTGTTAACCAGTATTTAATGTTTAGAGATCATGAGCTGGGTGTATCAGAGCCTAGTTCACAATCTGAAATGGAAAGTCCGCCATCTCCTATGAAACGAATGACACGAGCTCGTGCCAGAGGTAATTTATAATCAAATTTATTTTTCGATTATATGTACTTTGAAGAAAAACACTAAAAACGCTAATGGGCTTATACATTATTTACTTAATATTCAGGTGTTCAGTATGTTCCTCCTGTGAGCACGAGAATGATTCCTCCTGATTCAGTTCCTACAACCCCACCAACGCGAAAAAGAAAACCAGGGCGTAAACCACTTCATGAACATCATTCAGTTGATGACAAAAGTCTTTATTTTGTTTTAAGAAACAGTAAAGCACCAATGGCCGTAAGTTGCATTATTAAATATTTTTTACCTTGTCAGAAATAAGATTTTTTTTATATTAGAGATTACCAACTGTGAGTGATACTGCTAATATTTTTTGCAGCTAATTTATGATGGATTATTTAGTGCTTTTGGGTTTAAAAATATTGTGGCCTGTAAACAAAGATATTAAAAATTTTTATTTATAAAGCAGGGTATAAGTAAATAAATTAATCACTTATATAGTACATTATTATATAGTAACCAGAAATATTATTACTACTTTTAATATTACTATTAATATTACTTTTCAGCTAGTTTATGAAGAATATTAACTGCATTCGAGTTTAATTTTTTTTTGTTATTTCAATACTTATTTTATTGCTTATTTCTTCAATTTTTAAATTGATAGTCAGTAGGTGTGAAAGTTTTTTTATTTTATTATTAAACTATATTTACCTTTAAGTCTATTGTGGATGATTGGATTGGAACATACAGACAAAATCGTGACACGGCATTAATATCACTTATTCAATTCTTTATCAATGCAAGTGGATGTAAAGGACGAATAACACCACAAATGCAAAGTGAAATGGAACATGCAGCTATTATTAGAAAAATGACAGAAGAATTCGATGAGGTACTTTAATAATTCACAGATAAAATAAATTTTTATTTAATGTTTCATGAAACATGAAATAATTGGTTAATGTTAGTTCACTCTGTAATCATTTACATGAAAAATGCAAGTAATTCTCATACAAATTAAATTTTATGCTGAAATGCTTTATTTAAACTGAAATATTTTATAATGTTTGAAGTAATTATTGATAATTAATCACTACGCTGATAGCACAGTGTAAGAAATAATTAAGAAGTCTTCTGCCATAAAATATTCAATGTTTGCTTCCGGTTTAAGCTTTTAGAAGCTTATTATATCCCATTTTGCCTAAAGTCTAATTTTTAATTTACCAAATTATAATTCTTCTCTAATTATAAGTCAAACTTTGTGTTGTGTGATTGATTTTTGTGTTCTCTTTTTGATTCCCCTATGTATGTTTAATTATTTATTTTTGAATTTTATTATTTATTATTTTTTATTGAAAGTGAATTTTATATCAAAAATTTATAAAATAAATTTTAAAAAAATGTTTTATGAAAGAAAAATAAATATAATATGCATTAGGTAGGTTTAAATGTTTTTTTTTTTTGTGTAAGATATTACATATATAATGAATATAATAATTTGTTTATTCTTTATTTCTGAAGGAAAGTGGTGAATATCCTTTAATAATGACAGGACAAGCATGGAAAAAGTTTCGGCAAAATTTTTGTGACTTTGTTCAAACTCTTGTAAAGCAATGTCAATATTCTATTATTTATGATCAATTTTTGATGGATAATGTTATATCAATGTTGACTGGATTATCAGATTCACAAGTTCGAGCCTTTCGACATACTGCAACATTAGCAGGTATGACATACTGATTTTCTATGTAAATAAACTTCACAATTTGTGAGGTGTCAATTAAAGTGTCCTAGTTTGTAAAAAATTGTTTTTTAAAATCACACATAGGATATACATCGGCAATCACATAGTTGCTCTAGCTCTAAGAATTTTTTGTATCATCAAGAATATTCTGAAAGAAATTTCCCTTTGTCATTTATCTATAATGATTTTTATTAATATACAGCTATGAAGTTAATGACTGCACTGGTGGATGTCGCATTACTTGTTTCTGTAAATTGTGATAATTCACTTCGTCAGTATGAGGCTGAACGCCTGAAAGCTAGGGACAAGCGTGCAACAGATCGTCTGGAGTCTCTTATGCAAAAAAGGACAGAATTGCTGGAAAATATGGATGAAATAAAAAATATGCTTACGTATATGTTCAAATGTGTTTTTGTTCATAGATACAGGTAAGCTTTTTGAGCCAATTCTTATTGTTAATTAATTACTTGTATTGTGTAATAGTTTAGTGATAGTTTTGCTAAAGTGTTTTTGTAAGTACATTATAAAATTATGTTATAAATGTCATACAAATTTTTGTGATTCTTTTTTTGATACTTTTTAGCTTTTTTTGTACGGAATGATAAGTTTCATGTAGACATGCTTGAACTACATATCTATGATATAGATATTTTGTTCTGTATGTATAGATTGAGTATATGTGTTTACTTCTTACGTTCTGTGAATTACTTCTAAAAATGTCAAATAATAACAAGGTTTTTGTAAGATTATTATTTTTTGTCACTTTTACTTATTTTTATGTAATTAATTTTCATGTTTTTTTTATACTTACACTCCCATTGTGAATGTTAAATGAATGTACGACTAATTGTAATTTACAGCAAGTAATAGATTTTATTATTGTCACTGCTTTTGAGATGCATTTGATATCTAGGTTGTGTATTTTGAGATATATTTATGAATATTAATTTAATCTTAAATTTATTCGTCTATGTAATCTAATCAATTGAATTTTTGACAGAGATACTTTGCCAGAGATTCGTTCCATATGTATGGCAGAAATTGGTGTATGGATGCAGAAGTTCCATTCCAACTTCTTGGATGATTCTTATTTGAAATACATTGGTTGGACTCTCCATGACAAAGTAATTATATATGTTATGTTTTTTGATTAAATTGTAATACACTGAAAAATGCAAAAAGGTGATTATCATAAATGCATTTGAGTCATAAATAAATTGTTATCAACAAATTTGATTTGTCTTAAAATATGTTTAATATTTGTTTTTAATGTTAGGTTGGAGAAGTGCGTTTGAAATGTCTACAGGCTTTATTACCTTTATATGCTACTGAAGAGTTAAAAGGAAAGCTTGAACTGTTCACAAGTAAATTTAAAGATAGAATAGTTGCCATGACTCTTGACAAAGAATATGAGGTTGCTGTCCATGCAGTGAAGCTTGTTATTAGTATTTTCAAGTAAGTAATATAATTAATTAATAATTCATATAAGAAATTAATAAAGTTGAAAGTTTGGATATTAATAATAGTCAATTTTCAATGTGCTAACTCTTGTTCTCATTTGCCACCTTGGGAATGAATTAGTAGAATGATAATTTTCTTCATAAACATATTATTAATTGATATTATCTTCTAGAGTTTATATAAGATGTCATAGGATATGTTTTAGTTTTTAAACTATCCTTAAATCAATATGTATCCTAGGATATTCAAAATTCCAATTTGGAACAATTCTTAAGTTTCATAATGGATGATATATTTCATTTATTCTCATATATAAGTTGCCATGGCAAATTATTTGAAAATATCTAGCTTGTGCATTTTTACTTGAAACAAAATTATGCATACATAATAACTGATCCTTTTCTATTATTTTAGAACTCAAAATGATATTTTGACTGATAAAGATAGTGAGCATGTATACGAATTAGTATATTCATCACATCGAGCTGTAGCACAAGCAGCTGGTGAATTTTTAAATGAACATCTATTTCGTTTAGATGAAGAAAGTGCAACTGAACTTAGATCAAAACGTGGTAAAAAACGTTTACCAAATACACCTTTAATTAGAGATCTTGTGCAGTTTTTCATTGAATCTGAGGTAATAATGATTATTAATCATTGTCGACTAGATATATATTGGATTTTTTTTTATTATATTCTTAACTTTAATATAATATTTTAAAGCCTATAATCTTTAATTCATTCTATTGTATTTACTTTTATAACTAATAAACTTTGGTAATAAAGCAAAGTTTTATCTTCTGCCGCAGAAACTATTTAATAGCTTATTTGAAATAAATCACTCGCAAAGTCTATATATGCTAATGAAATTTATTTAATAAAACTACAGTAAACTGCTTGCTTAATAATTTTTGTTTTTGGGCATGCTTATTTTATATGGCATTTTTACTTTTAAGTAAACCTATATAACATTTAGTTTTGCTAATTAATTAAAATGATTATTATATTACTATTATTTATTTTTATATTATTAAATAGTTAACTTATCATTAATTATTTTATTATGATTATTATATTATTTAACTAGATTCGAATTGGATCAATTACCATTTAAGGTAATAAAATAATTGCCCCTTGTTCTAGTGATTGTTACCTACTGCTGATGATTTTTGACAATTAATTAAACTGATTACTATATTATTAATAACTAGTTTCTAATTGGAACAATTGATTATCACTTGAACTGATCAAAATATTGGCTTATTCAAGTAATTGTTCCATATAGTCATTTGAATGTGTATTATTAATATTTTCTATCCAACTGCTGTACAATTATTTGCTCAATACTTAATACCTTTTTTTTGTATACTTATGTAGCTTCATGAACATGCTGCTTACCTAGTAGATTCCTTGATCGAAAGTCATCCAATGATGAAAGATTGGGAGTGTATGACTGATCTTCTATTAGAAGACGCAGGGCCTTCAGAAGAAGTATTGGATAATAAACAAGAATCTAGTTTGATAGAAATAATGGTGTGTTGTGTGAGACAAGCTGCTACAGGCGAACCACCTGTGGGAAGGTCTAGTTCAAGAAAGATGGTAAGTTTATAAATAAAAGTATTTATTTTTACTTTAATCTTTGCATTTACTCATTTTTGATTTGTATTTATTTACCTAATAATTGTGATACTTCTAAATTCTAAATGTTTGCAAATCGCATTTTTGTGAAATAATAATTATCTGTTTATTAATTAAAGGCGCTAAGTGCAAAAGAAAATAAACAAGTTTTAGATGACAAACAAAAACTAACCGAGCATTTTATTAGGACTATTCCTATGCTTTTGTTAAGATTCGGTGCAGACTCGGAGAAGCTGACAAATTTATTATCGATTCCGCAATATTTCGATTTAGGAATCTACACAACATCACGTCTAGAAAATGTTAGTATATTGTTAATTGTTATTATTGTTCATTGTATAATTGTTCACAGTAGTTTAATATGTTACTTTTTGCAGAATCTGCAAGCATTATTATCAAAATTGCAAGAAATTATAATTAATCATACTGAAAGCGAAGTACTAGAAACTTGTAGTAAAACTCTAGAATATTTGTGTAAAGAGGGCACTCATATTTCAATAAGATGTGATGTTGTAAAATCAATTATTATCGATCATTGTGTAGATAAATATAATTATGCAATGGATGATTGGAGAAATATTATCAATGGGGTTAGTATTAAAGCACATGCCCTTTCCAAATGGTTTATTATATTCTGAATGATTGATTATGGAAAAATAAATATCTCCTAAAAATTTATTGCAGGATGAAACTCCTGATGATGATGAAACATTTAATGTGGTGAATAGCTTGAAGAAAATTTCGATTCTGTATTCATGCCATAATATTAACCATAAAAATTTATGGCAATCTATCATAATTGATATAATTGAATGCCAAAATGGCATTACTGATAAGAGTTTACCTAGTGAGGTAATTATCATTTGTTTAAATTTCACATCCAGTGAATGTTTAGATTTTAAGTTGAATGATTGCTTGTTTTTGACCTACTTCTAGAATATAATACTATGATCTTGAATTAAATACTTATTAATACTTTTTTGGGCCTCTCTTACAGACTTTAATTCAATTTAATATTCCTGACACTTTTTTTGGAAAATATCAATGATGTATTCAAAAATATTCTAGAGACCCAAAAATTTTGTAAGAAAAGGCCCAGAAATTTATACATCAAGTGTTAAATGCATGTTAATAGTTAATAATAATTAATATTGCATATAGTATTGATTAATATTGATTTACAAACCCTTATCTGTTGCTAGATTTCCATACATGATTCTCACTAAGTCGTAGCTGGTCTCGATAAGTATGCAATATCTCTTTTAATTAAAAAAAAATGGTTTGAATACTTTTTTACATATGGGTCATTCTTTTACAAACCATACACCAACCATACCTTGACATTTTATAATTTTTTTTATAGATATTATAGATAAAATCATTTGACACGTATTTCAGGATTTTGCCGGCAAAAATTTTTTTTCGTTGATATTTACGATTGAAATATTGCCGATTGTCTCAACTTTTATGAATTTCCTCTGCATTATGTTAATTATCTACAGTTGTGTTGATCAGATCAGTATTGTTTTTTTTTTTATTATATTCATTATGAACTCAACTTAGAAGTAATTTTAAAAAAATAATGTTTTTGCAATTATTTTAACAATAATAACAATTGATTGTTTACATTGGTTTTACATACGCGCGCCCCAATTTAAATTGATTGCGTAAAAAATCATATTGTTTCTTTTTTTATCTACTACAAAATTATTTTTACAATTCGATGGGGTGGCTGTTACATCGGAAGATATTAAATGTTTTCGAGCGCAAGTCGCGCCGCGCGTCCGTTTGAAAGACGCATCGCGCGTATTAAATGAGTTCAAGTACTATTTTTAACTAAAATATTTTACAATTTTGTTACTGAGGAATAATAATATAAAAATTTCAGCTAATTCTAAAATGTCACAATTTTTTTTTACCAAAATCCGTACGATTTGTAAAAGAATGACCCATATATTATACTTATTATTTTAACTACTTTTGAAATTTTTATTGCTATCATCTCGATCAGTTGTAAGCTACTGATAAGGGTTAATCAAATAATACCTTGTTCCAGTTGACCTTATGCTTTACAATGATCTTAAATTAAAATGATACACTTAGAAATTTCATATTTCTAAGACAAATAAGATATATTAAATTTATTTAATTAATTCAACTAAATATTTTTATAAATATGTCTTAATAATTATATTTTAGGCTTTGAAATACTGTATAGAAGCATGTTACTTTTCCTTGATTTGGGATTTAGCTACTATTGAAACAAACACTGATCCTGTTGATTGTGCGTCTTCAATCCAAACTCTAAGATCTAGATTAGATCAATATATACATGTTTGCAAGCAAATTATGACTAATGTAAATGATAATGATTTACGTGAAGCTGTAAGTTGAAAAAGAACTTTTATTTTTATGATAACATTTAAATAACACAATAATAATTCAAACTTATAAATACTTGCATTTTTAGGCATATTCTTCTATTTGTGATTTAGCCATTATGTTTTCTGAACAATTAGCTGTCCACCCGAAGGAGATGATGCATCCTCTGGTGTACATTCCATGTGCAGAAACACAGACAATATTAAATGATTTTGTACAGAACTATGTCTTCATACAACATCATGAAGGTAAAATATTATTATGAACTCTACATCATGCAGCACCATTTTGCATGCTGATAAAGCTGGCCCAAATACATGTTGCATTATATTTTAACTCGTATTTATTATCAGCATATCAACTAATGTTGTTATTATTATTTTGGAAGTTTGTTATGAAATAAAACATCTAGATACCTAAATTAAACACTTCAGCTGATATTGCATTATGATTACAGAAGGGCATGACGAGGGACGAATCGAAGAGCTGCACAAACGTCGCAACTTTTTAGCAGCATTTTGCAAACTCATAGTATATAATATTATACCAACTCAAGCTGCTGCAGATGTGTTTAAGCACTATGTTAAGGTAATATAATAGACAAATACATATTGATATTTGTTGTTATTTTTATAATTTTTACCATTTTCTTAAGCATTTACACAATTCTTCATAATCTTGCTTAATAATATTTATATATATTTAGCAATACATGGTTTTCTGATATTTTGTTACTAATGCCAAGGGTATTCAAAAATTTATTTTTAATTATTATTTAATGATTTTATAACAGTAAATGTTATATTGCCTGGTAGTTTGCCAGACCTTAATTTTTAGGAAATTTTGCACGATAACAGATTATAGTTGATTGTCCAAACAAAACTCTTAAAATATTATAGATCTATGAGAAATGGCTTAATTATAAAAATACTAAATATATTTTTGTCAATTGCTATAATATTTTTAACACTAATTGCACTTTAGAACCAATTGGTACAACTTACTAGCTTATAAAGAAATATTATCGATACAAATTTGAAACCAGCAAATTATTTCAATCATATTATAAAATATTGGAAACTGTTCAATATCCAAAAAATCTAAATAAATCTAAATTTTACTAATAGTTTTTTGATTGTTGTTTAAAAAAATAATTTCGATTAATTTTTCTGCCAGTCCAAAAAAATCAAATATTATAGTTTATAAATAATAATGTTTAGCATTATATTTGAAGGTTTGCTTATTAGTATTGGAAACTGTTCAAATATACAAAAAATCTCAATAATTCTAAATTTTACTAATAGTTTTTGAACTGTTGTTTAAAAAAATAATTTCGATTAATTTTTCTGCCAGTCCAAAAAAATCAAACATTATAGTTTATAAATAATAATGTTTATCATTATATTCGAAGGTTTGTTTATTAGTATTGAAGTCCAAGATATGCAAAGGTTTGCAATATGTGGTAAAATCGTATGTTAGAAAAATATGACAAAAATTTTGAAAGTTTTTAAAATGAAAATGAACTATTGGCAGTAAACCCAATAACTAGGTAAATGAATTGGTATGTTATCGAGATCTTTATATACACAATAGTTTTGTGTCTCTATATAGTCATTTAACTTAAACTTAATTTTTTTTGTATATTCCTAATGTCTAGATCAGTTCTTAATAATAACTAATACCATCAGAGCATCGTCAATAAGAATTAAGTGGTATTTCAACTATTTAAATTAGTTGAATCATTCTCCCGAATAGTTCAGTATCTAAAATACATTCTTACATTATAAGAATTATATTTGAATATATAATTAATATTAATAGTTAATTAATAAAATATGAATAAACTAAATATACTTAATAAACTAAAATAAATTAATTTTTTTCAGTGCTACAATGATTATGGTGATATTATCAAATCAACTTTAGGCAAAGCACGTGAGATTAACAAAGTAAATTGTGCAATGACCATGAGTTTGAGTTTAACCGGATTGTTCAAGGATTTGCAAATGAATGTGCCGGCTGGTGTTAAGGTTCCCAGAAATACAGAGGAATTTGCAGAGTTGAAAGTAAAGTATTCCTGTTTAATAATACTTATACTAGTTAGTGATTAATAAATTTATAAACCTTAGGAGTTAGCAAAACGTTTTGCTTTATCTTTTGGCTTGGATGCTGTGAAAAATCGTGAAGCTGTTACTGCTTTGCATAGAAGTGGTATATTGTTCAGTGTAACCGCAGTCGACGAGTGCGATGACCCCACAAGAGCACCTTCGCGTTTGCCTTTCTTGGAGATTTTGAACGAGTTTACTAATAAGTTGCTAAAGCAGGATAAAAGAGTTGTGTAAGTCATATGATTATATATATATATATATATATATATATATATATATATTCTACAAAGTAATCATTAATTTCATGAAAAGTAATTCAATACAGTTTTAGAATCTTTCATTCATTATATTTCTTCTCTGTTTTTCTTACCCCTTTCGTTCTCGCAACTCTCTTCCACTCTCATTACATGTGCATTGCCTGTACTTTTAACCTTGAACAGTGCACACAATACTAGGCTACCATTAACATAAATATAGGAGGGCAATATGTGCTCCTCCTATTTCTCGTTTGTTAATTAATAGTATTTTATTATTTTACACAAATTTAGTGCTCAATCAATTTTACATCATAATTAATGTTTCCTGTTTTTCCTGGTTTGGTATGTATAATTTCCTCCTTTTATATATTTATATTTATCTTCATCTGTGTATTTATGTTAAATGTTTTTTTAGATTACTGAATGATGACACACATCAAGTGTCGAAATGTTTAATGGAATAAATAATTTTGTTATTTAACCTTTTTTTTTAATTCGACGGTTGGGCTGCAAAAATATTATAAATATGTATCAACGTCGACAAAACTTTCATCATATATATATATATATATATATATATATTGAATGGTATAGAGTCTTGGATTTGTGTATATTTTGTAGAGTTTCGAAAATCTCATTCATTCAGTTATTCAAAAAAGACGAACTTTTTCAAAAACACAAATTAATTCTCCCAATACCAGTACTAACATCAAAAACACCAATCTTATTTACTGCAGCATACCATACGTTGAAGATTTATGTTATTATTTTGCCAAAATTTTGTTAGAAGAAAACATTTTAGTATCAGGCTCATCCTTACACTCCTTCAACCAATTCTTTACGAACATTAAATCCCCTACCCCATCCAATCTCAATACTAATGTAGTATATTCTGTTTCTTGTAATGACTGTGCTTTTCAATATATTGGACAAACCTCCCAATATGTACACAAGAGAATGAGACAACATGAACTAAGTGTGGTCCACCATAAACAAAAAAATTTCAAAAGAACCCTAGTACAACACTCTATAGAAAACGCCCATTCATTTAATTTCACTCCAAAGATTTTATATCATGAAAGTTGCATCTTTAGAAGGTTATTCGCGGAGAGTTGTCTCATTCTCATAAATGTTTCTAACAGTGTCAACATTAGATCAGATCACAACCTATTACATGATTCATATTTAAATTTTTTACACTTTTTGACAAACAATTAATATCGACTTCCTTTTAAGATCAACAATTTAAGTATTCACACCCTAACATATAAAAACACACACATACAATCTCACATGTCTCGTTTAAGTGTTTACACGTGTTACAAAGGACACACCAGTTTCAATTAGTTAATTTTCGAAAGCCAATCGAACAACATCCAGAGAACAATATTATTTGTGTTTTCAAATAATAATTTTAAAAAGACAAATCTTTTAGTAATTTTGATTTACAAAATCTAATTATTCGGCGGAAAATTAACTCACAAATTCATTTTTGTTAAAAAAGCTTGTTTAGTGAAAAAGTGCTAACAAATATTCAAACATACAGGTAATTAATTCAACTTTGTCATTAACCTTTTCTTAAAAAATTTCCATAACTTTCAAAAAATTTTCTATTATGTTTAATATCCTGTTCTGATAATCCACTCATTTATTTTTATCATTTTTATCATTTTCATTTTGAACATATTATCATATTTTTGTACATTATTATATTTTTTTTGCAATTAATTCATTATTTAAGAAAAATCTATTTTCTTTTCCTAAACATATTGTTTGCTAAAATCTCATCAAGATCATGTTTCTTGACAGATGTCCTGAAGATGGAACGTACCTAGTTCCGAAACGTCGACAATAAACAAATAATTAAATAAAGAAATTGTTTTTTTAAAAACTTTTCTTGTTTTTTATTTTGTATTATTTTTGGATTCTTGTTTCGAAACTCTACAAAATATATATATATATATATATATATATAATATATATATATATATATATTATATATATGATATATATATATATATATATATATATATATATATATATATGATATATATATATATATATATATATATATATATATATATATATATATATGATAAAAGTTTTGTCGACCTTGATACATATTGAATTCCCCTTTAGCGACCTTGATACATATTGAATTCAATATATATATATATATATGATATATATATATATATATGATAAAAGTTTTGTCGACCTTGATACATATTGAATTCCCCTTTAGCGCGTACAAACAATTTTTACTGGTCAAAGCAAATGTGAATAGCACTAATTTAGGGGAATACCCTAAAAATTCTTGTTTTTCACTAATTTTAATAGGTTTTAGAGATTAGGAACAAATCACCCATTTTTGTATAAGATCAATGTCTTTTTTTACACGTTTTTTTTCTACACGGCTTCTTCTGGAACCAATCTACCGTGTAAAAACAGACTTAGGTGTATATATATATATATATATATATATATATATATATATATATGAGATTCAGTCTTCAGGGCAATACATTAATTAAAAAATTTGTATGACTTTAATACATTTTTATTTTTTCCATACGTTTCAACACATTGTTTTGTGTCATCTTCAGTGGACTCTAGTTTGAAGGAACAGATAGAAATTATTAATTAAAAATAATATATAAGAAATGATATGGTATGAACTTACATGAAAATTATAAATATTCACAATGCACAATAAAACCAATTCTTGTCACTTTAAATTGAACAATATATAAATTTTCGAATGAGTTTTTTATGAAATTGTACAGTACATCCCGCTATTCTGTGTTCCGATGCAAGAGTGAAGCCTAAATGTACATCAATGTGCGTACCACGTGTTAAAAGCTAGGTACAAGGCACACGAACTGACCAGAGAATTTAAGGTTTGACAACGCGAGGAGGGTACATATAGTAGAATATAAAAATATGACAATTGTGAGGGTGGACATAGTTGGTAGAATTGAGATAAAAATTAAAAGAAAAAGAAAAATTAACATTAAAATTAATATAATTAAAACGTCGATCAGGATAGGTAATTATTTTAAAGGTACGAATTTCGAGACATTGTTTAAAACTACTTGGTAATTCTCACACAGTGAAGAAGTATCCAATCTTTTGTTAATGCTATTTTTAAAAAGGTGTATGAAAAATGATTCTGAAAAGCGTCTCTGCGATGTATTCGACTCGTGATATAAAATTGTGGCAACATCAAAATTGAAAATATGATTGAAACTTTGGATGTGGTCAGTTATCATTGTTTGATTTTGATTTTTATTTTTGGAGTTGTTATAGTGTTGTCTAAGACGTTTTTTTAGATGTTGTCCAGTTTCGCCAATACAAGTGGCCTCACAATTTATATATTGAAAATAAAATAAATATTATATATTGTTCAATTTAAAGTGACAAGAATTGGTTTTATTGTGTATTGTGAACATTTCTAATTATGAAATAATTAGGATTAATTCAATTACATGTAAGTTCATACCATATTACTTCTTATATATTAGTTTTAATTAATAATTTCTATCTGTTCCTTCAAACTAGAGTCCACTGAAGATGACACAAAACAATGTGTCAAAACGTATGGAAAAAATAAAAATGTTTTAAAGTCATACAAATTTTTTAATTGATGTATTGCCCTGAAGACTGAATCTCACATATTTCAACATCAAAATTATAAAAAAAATTAACACATATATATATATATATATATATATATATATATATATATATATACTAGATGACCCGACAGATGTTGTCTTGTAGTCATGCCTACAATTTTGTAATATCCTATACTAATATTTACGCTTCCTATACCAAAATTTGCGGTTTACCTAAAAATAATTATTATTGTTTTTTAAAATACTCTTCACACCAAAATGCATTAATATGAGCGATGTCAAATGTAGAAATGCCTTAAATAAAAATTGAAGTCTTTTAAATGGTATGACAAATTCAGAAAATATTAATATAGTATCCGCGGTAAAAGTACAATATTACTTTGGATTTTTTCACTCAAAATTATTGCTCCAATAATGTTGCCTGTAATTTTTATAATCTTGTGCCATATTTTAACTGGTTATTAATATATTAATTATAATATCTAAATTACATTTTTCTTAGTAATAATAAAATATACATTATAAGTAGGGAGGCTCTTGGTGTCCTCAGCGCCCGCATGCTATTCTTTTTCTAGCATTTTACTTGCTTACTATATTAAAAATTTCATATCCGAATCTTGTCTTTGCGCCCCCTAAGGCGTGCGCTCGCATTTTTCGCATGCATTGCATTCAAGGTAGGATCGGCCCTGATTATTACTTTATTTCATATTCTAAGTGAATTAATTTGTCAAGTCCGTTCATATGTGTATCATTCAATCTACAATCAACTGACTAAATATTTCATATTCTAAATAATTTTTTGAATAAGTAAATTTATTTTTTTGTATTGTGAAATAATTTAGTAAAGTAAGGCAAAATACGACATGCATAAGTTTAAAAAAATTATATGTCAAACTGAATTATATAATTTTATCTGCCACACAAATACTGTATCCTATTCTAATTTCTGGCACATCTCAGCTGATTTTCGACAATAATAGTGTAGACATTACATTTTTCTTATTCTAATATTGTCTAGGCTCATAAGGGAATTGAAATTTTTGGCAGATGACGGTTCTCATTTGTTTTCAATGCCAAACAATGTCTCAAATATTTTCAATGTCAAACAATGACATATCGTTTTTAACTTCCCGAAGGAGGTTTGTTTTCATAAAAAAATCCGATTCGCTGATTTTATGTTTTCTCGACGTTTCAAGCCATTCTGAATCGAATGAGACCAAATTTGGAAAAAGTATGTATGTGTGTGAACAGATTTTTTGCCGTAAATCGACGTTTTCTCAAAAACGGCTGGACCGATTTCAAAAATTTAAAAGCCATTCGATGTAACTCGATGAGGACTATTGTTTGTCAGTTTTGTGCGACGATCGCCCAAGCCGTTTCATTATAAATCGCAGAAAAGGAAAAAAATTTCATCTACGTTTTAGCCCGCAATTCTGAATAGATTTTGAAAACTCAAAAACCGTTCGAAAGATATTGGTTGGGAATCGTGCTGATTAGTTTTTGGTAGAGATCGGCCGGGCTGTTTTCTTGTAATAATAAAAAAAGACATCGACGATTTTTATGATTATTCTTTCGACGGTAGATACCATAGTCTTCTAGATCATATTAAAATATTACGGCCCTACTACAACTCGTTTAGCTTTAAAAATTCTTCAAAGTTTACAAAAATTAGTATGGTTTTTTTGGCATTTGTCAAAATTAGAACTTTCATCGACGTTTGCTCAAAAACGCCTGAACCGATTTCAGAAATTTAAAAACCATTTGATGTATCTCGATGAGGATTATTGTTGCTCAGTTTTGTGCGACGATCGGCCGAGCCGTTACTTTGTAATTTGGAAAAAAGTGTTAAACTTTTCGTCCACATTTGAGCTCATACTACCAAATCGATTTTAAAAATTCAAAAACTGTTCAAAAGATATTAGTTGGGAATGACACTGATTAGTTTTAGGTGAAAAATCTACCGAGCCGTTTTCTTGTAATTAACTGTTGAAAAAAAAATTTAAGACGATTTTCATGGAACTTTTTTTGGCGATATTTATCATGGTCTTATAGGACTTACTGAAACGACCTTACGACAAGTAGTTTAATTTTAAAAATTCATCAAAATTTGGAAAATGAGTAGTTTTTTTGATATTTGTTAAAATTAAGATTAGACGATTTACTTGGTATAACGATAGAGTACTTGGTATTAATAAACATGCTAAACAATTAAAGTCCTACAAAAACTGGCTCAATTATAAAAATCATTGATTTTTGAAAATTTGCTTTTAAAAAATATTCCGACCGGGTTAACGTGTTAGATTTTTAATAATGTGTAATAAATCCACTTCGAATACTTTTAACTACTCATAAATTAATTTATCTATCATGGATTAAGTCGATTATTTACACAAATCGGGAAGTTCATGTAACTTGCCTCAAGGCAAAATACCAATACCAACTAGTTCCATTTATTTCTACAATATTACTTTATTTTTATAATCATTTACATCCTAAAAAATTCCCTTGACAAACTTCAGAAAGATTTATCAAAATCCAAATAATCGTTTAGGAAGAGTATTTTGACTTACACCCGTACAGAAGGATTTTATATATAAGATATATATATATATATATATATATATATATATATACCTATATTTTAATTTCTATTTAAAATTGGCATTACTCTTGTATTTATATATAGATCTTTAAAAAAAATTTAACTTTTAAAAAAAAAATGCATTTACCAATTTTTATAACTTCTTATCTCATCATTTGATCAAGATATCATGAAATATGTGTAAGTTGTAACTGTAAAAGATGCCGAAAAAAATAATATTTTGTGCGTAGACTAATCAGCACATTTGGAAGCATTGGAATAAAACGTTAATTCAAATCTATCTTTTATGAAGATTATCATTTTTGGAACGCCGCATCAATGACGGGATGCCTTCAAGTCGTACTGATGAATGGCAACCATTATTCATATATCGTAACTCATTACTGCATGGAGAAACTGATGCTGCACCTGTGACATCAAAAAGAGCATACACACGCAGGAAAAAGGATATAAGTAATATGAAAATTGCTATGAATCAAGTAAGTCAAAAATATTAGTCCCTTTCAATAATCTTAAAATATTTTTAGGTCATGCCGATGAAGATGAAGAGGCAGATGGTGAAAATATGGACTCTGATAACGAATATCCTTGAATTTTTATATATAATGTATTTGTATTCTTCCAATTATGTTTATATATTTAAAACAAAATATCGATAATTTTAAATATATGTTTCGTATTATAACGTTTATATGCTAGATTTATGTAAAGATGCACTATGGGTACATGAGTTAAAAACTAAAATGAGTATCTTTTAATAATACTTTGTTTAAAATTTGTTTTAAAAGTACTGCATATTTACTGCACTTCATAGGGAAAGCGACAATTTGAACGATTTGAAAACTTCAAGAAACCTACAAGTTTTTGATAAAGGTATATCAAATGACTATAGTCTTTTCAGTGATATGGCTAAAAAAGAAGTATAAACTATTAATATATATGCATATCAAATTATTGAATTTTTATAAAGGTTGCTTTGATACATACAACTAAATTTTGGATTCAGTACCAATACATGAGAAATTTTTAAATTCTTCTAAGACTCAAATCAGGTAAGGAAGATTTACAGGCAAACATTTCAATTATTCAAGAAAGCTTTTTATATCATACATGAAAATATTTCTAACAATTTCTTAAATTTGCAGTGATTATTCTAAGGATCTATTTGACACTATCATCATATCTGATTTTTAGAGCTAGTTATCTGATATAATTGTTCAATTCAAGTATACTGCAAGTGTCTCTTGACTATTGGTCAACAAGTTTAGCTTGACAACAGTATTTTCTAACCACTAATGCTAGGTATTTAACAAATCAGAGCGTAGAATGTATCAATAAAATTAAAATGGACATTACTGATGATAATTAATTTCAAATCATGTTCAAAACAAAACAAATTAAATAGATGCTTGGGTTTGGGTCAATCAATGAAAATACATGTTTTTTAACAAATGAAATTTGTTTGAAAAAAAAAACAATATCCAAACTTTAAATAATAATAATTAACTTTCCGAACAAGAATTTTATGTTTTCTCGAGAAAAGCTAATTTGCAAATTTTATGCTTTCTCGGCGTTTCAATTCGTTTTGAATAGTTTGACATTAAATTGGAAAAATTATTTGTGGGTTTTTAATATTTTATTATCTATCGATAAATTTTCACCCAATGCTAAAATTTTTCAACGAATAGAGCGTATAAATTTAAGCTTTGTTATCGAGCTAAATATAATTGGACTACTAAACTAACTATTATGAAATAGGAATTGGTGGTAAAAAAGTAAAAATTTAGAGTTTAGAGTTTGTGTTTTTCAATTCCGCATTAAAAACATTTAAAATAAACAAAATTGATTGAGTTTGTGGTAAGAGGGCGCATGTTTATTATTTAGTTACGAATTATAAAAATATATAAAAAAATTGGATAGAAAATTTAAAAAAAGGCGGCCAACCCTTGCCTTGCTACTTTTTGGTATGAAAATTAGATTGTGTCCTATTCTTAGTTATTCTAAACGTAAAGCATAAAAATCGGTCAAGCCGTTTCGGATGTTGTCACAAGCATCATGATACGAGAATAATATATATATATATATATATATATATATATATATATATATATATATATATATATATATATATATATTAGAGATGGGCTTATCATATCCGAAGCCGGATCGACTCGGATTTGACTCCGCTTCATGGTGGAGATATATCCGCTTAACAACTCCACGACTCCGACAATTTTGAAACCGAAATACTCGACACAAATGTGTTCTATAGTGCGTTGTTTATGTATCTAAGGATTTGTCAAATTCCATTAATTATTGGAAATGAAAATTTATGAATAAATATCAATAAAATAATTTTTCTAAAAAATTCACGAATGAATGACAGGTTGTAAAATTTTTCGGTCGACCAGATGATCGTTTCAGTTACTTGTAATTTTAACAGTGTTGACCACAGTAAAAACGCAAAATTTGAGAATCAAATTCAATTTAATTATTTCCTTTTGATGAGAAAACATTTAATTTTTTGGATTAATTTTATATAAAAATTTTGTAGTAAACTTTATAATAAAAGCAAAACATAATACTTCTGCTTTCAAAATTTTTCTTCTGCAATTTCCATTCGGGAATTAATATTACATCGTGTAGTTCGATTATGGTTCGATTAGCATATTATTACTTTTACACAATTATATATTTGGTTAAAAGTAATAATATAATACTAAATATTTTTTGCTGCTTAAATACTAATGATATCGCTGATACATTTTGTACTCTAAAGTGTTGTTATTTCAGGCTACGGAAAAACCAAATTAAATAAATATATTTCGTTTCGTATATTTTTCGGTATGTATATTCCTGATTGCCGTCATTCACGGCCAAAGATTGTCGTAGTTAGAAATATGACCCCTTACTATTTAATAAATTATACATTTGAGCTATTCACACTTGAACACAATTTCATTGTTCTGTATCTTTTTTCTGTAACATTTTTGTATTTTCTGGAAAATACACAATGGTATGTATCATTTTGACTTTTATACCTAAAAGGTCATAAAACTGCCTGTGAGACGAGAAAGTGACTGCTTCCTTCCCAAAGCAAAAACGACAAAAACAGTAAATATCTGCACGAGTTAACAGATTTAATACCAGTTTAGGGAAGTCGGATATGACAAATCCTATGAAACAACTTCACTCGGAGTTTCACTCCGAGGGAGGAGTTGTATCGGAGTGATAACTCCGGAGTGAGTTACCCATCTCTAATATATATATATATATATATATATATATATATATAAACTCAATGGTAAAATCGTTAGCTTTTCATTTCGGTGTATACTCATTCATAGTTCAATAAACAGGCTATGCGCTTGCGCAATGTGTTGGCTTCCTTTAGGAGACAACAAATTAGACAGAGTTTGCAGTGGAAAATTTGCAACATTTACAAATCATTAACTAAAATCTTTGAAATTGATTTGTAATCATAATAGGCGTAAAATACAAAATACATTTTTTATATTTTAAAAACAATTTAAATATATTTCAAAACCATTTTTGAAATAGCATGCTTAATAAATATATGTTTGTTTCTTCTGTTCATTAAGTAATTAAGTTTGACTTAATTTTGTTGATTATACACAGAAAAAATGAGACCGATTCGTCACGTACAAAGTCATTCTAAATTACGATCAATAAATCAAAATATATAATTTTTAACAAATTAAATAAAATAGAAATTTGTTTGAAAATATAAAACAATATTCTAGTTTTGAATAATTTTAATTACTTTACGAAGAAGAATTTTATATTTACCACAGAAAATTCACTTAGCAAATTATATGTTTTCTCGGCATTTCAATTCATTCTGAATAGTTTGACATTGAATTGGAAAATTTATTTGTGAATTTTTAATACTTTATTTTAAATATAGAGCAGTTTACTGCAGAAAATTAAAACTAAGTTTTCGACAAAAGTCCTGAACCGATTTTGGAATTTTAAAAGCCGTTGGAAGGATATCCGTTGGGAATCGTGCTGAAGATTGGCCAGACCCTTTTATTTATAATTAATTGTAGAAAATTTTGTAAAAAACATATATATTTTTTATACACTCCTTCGTTTATAGTTCTGCTCTACAAATATGACTGTTATTCAAGTATCAATGTGTGGTATTTAACTTTTCTTGTTTTTTTTTTTCACTAAGTAAGATATATACCAGGGCTCGGAACACGTGGCAGTCTATTTAGAATCATTGTTTAGGAGTTTTCCAATAGCTTGATGGATGCATATTAAAGAGCTTTTCTGTTTTCATTTATACACCTTTCATCATCTGAAAAATTGATAGCATTCAGCTCTCCCACTATAGATTGTGGAGTCGTATGTAGAAAGGGCATCTCCAGTTCATCTTTCTAAGCGTCATCGACAGCATCTTGCATACTTTCCCTTATAATAAATTGGCAAACCAAATATTAATATATAACAAAGTTCATTACAATGAATTTAAACTTGGTATTTATTATCGGTTGTTTAATATGCGGGACATTAGTGTCAGCTCAGGGCAGTAGTGAAATTACGCGATTGCTCGGAAATCAACAGATCGTTGGAAACAAATAATGTGTGTATTAGATAAAGGCCCATGTGATCAACTTGGAAATCAATTGAAAGGTAATTCAGTATCTTTATCATTAGCTGTCCGAAGCAGGAGTATATTTTTTGCCAGAAAATCCGATCTCATATTTTTTTTCTCGACGTTTTGAAACGTTTGACATATTTGATATATGTATAGCAGCCAATTCGTCTAATTAGAAATATACGACACTCGAGTTTTCTTGCAAAAATAATTTCGTATAGAAAAAAATTTTTGTATTTAAAAAAAAATTTTAGTTTCAAATAATATTATAATCATATCAGTAAAAACAAAACAGAAGGTTATAAAACATTTTCGTCAATTATAACACACACGATTCATACCAGAATCGTTAATTTTATACTTGCAGAAGTTTCGGAGTTAAAATTGTTATTTCAGAGTACTGATTTTCAGTGCACTGATTGTGTTGTGTATTATATTGGAGTATGTCCTCAATACATGCACAAGATAATTTTTTTATTTTTTTTAAATTCTTTTTCATAAATTAGTTTCTGCAAGAAAAATCCTCAATCAAACGCAAAAAGCATCAATTTTGTGACTTTTAGGTGCGTTTGATGAAAAATATATATATCTATTTAATGAATTTTTAATTTTAGTTTTTTATTTTGACTTAAATATAGAGTTGTACCAAGAAAATTCGCACTATCAATGACTTATTTTTCTATTACAAATGTGTTATAAACTTGTTTTTTTTTTATGTTTTAGCTGCATTACCAGAAGTTTTAACACGAAATTGCCGAAGTTGCAACCCTCAGCAAGCCGCCAATGCTCAAAAATTGATTAGATTTTTGCAGACTCATTATCCAGAAGTTTGGTCTATATTAACCAAAAAATACAAGAGCTAATTAAGATGTCGACAAACTACTTTATTGAAGCTTATTTATAAGAGAAAAATACCATCATTGGACAATAAATAAAGGGCAACAAATGTAAAAGCATCTATGTATTAAATTTGTATTATTTTGTAGTTTGGATTATGGTTACCTGTCGAATGCATAACATGTGCTAAAATTTAATTCGGTAAGATAATCTTATTCTTATATTTGCTACGGCTTAGGAATCAATTGCT